GCTCATCCGTCATCTGCAGAGAAAAGCAACCTCCCTCTTTCTTATTTAATCCCCTCACCCCATCAAAACCGCCCCAAAGCCCCTCACACGTCCTCACATGTACCTGTTTCTCTCAACTGAATTCCGTCTACCTCCAAGCATCCCTCTATCTCCCTCCTCCCCTCCCTCCTCACCTCCTTCTCTACCTCCCTCCTCCCCTCTCTCCTCCCCTCCCTCCTCACTTCCCTCCTCACCTCCCTCCTCACTTCCCTCCTCACCTCCCTCCTCACCTCCCTCCTCACCCCCCTCCTCACCTTGTGGCAGCCCCTGCAACAGCTGGCATGCAACAAACGCCCGCGTCAGCCCCTTCCCGTCCTCCGCCGCACCCGACCCACCCTCCCTCTCACGCAATTTCTCCTCTCTTTCATCCTCTACCTTAAACCCTGCTTCCCGAGCATCTCTGGGCGTGGATGTCTATAGTTGTGGGAACATGGAGAGGAGGGGGGCATGGAAAAAAGGAAGTGGAATATGGGTAGAATGCGAGGGGTGTGTTGACACGCACGACAGTGGCCGGTGCAAATCTGTGAGGGTTTTGCCAGGGTTGAAGGTATAACGTTTAAGCATTACGTAGAAGGATAGTCACCATTCTCGCACTGTTTAACAACCCTAATATCCGCGCAAGACTGTAAGTACTGAGAAACAGGCTCCACGTGTTGAGATAACACACATGGTGTCACACATTCCCCACCTCGTCCAAAAGCGCGCACAGCAGCTGTTGCGGCTCGACTCCGCACGCCGCAATCACTGCGGCTGTGACGGCCGCCGCGAGCGAACGTGCTGCGGATGCCGTTGCGCCGTCGCCGCGAGACGAATTCCATAGTAAGCCCTGCAGCTGCTCTACCAGGCGATCTGCGCTTGCCCATGCTGGTGCTGCTGCCGCTTCCGTGACAATTGCGGGAGCGGACATTACAAGAAAGATACTGCTTTCCGTCTATCTGGAATCGGTAGCAGCTGGCTCAAACTCCGAAGGGAAGTGGCTCGCCTTTTCCTTCCGCTTGGGCTGAGAGTAGAAATTGTAGATGACATCCTGGTTGGAGACCTGTGCATGAAGGAACAGCGCTATAATCAGGCAAACTTTTTTATTTGTAGTGAATGATATTAAATACAGTATAAAAGTTATGGACTAGTATACGTAGGTTTCCAGCAATCTAGATTCGGTTGTTTCACGAGTTTAATATGATACTCGTCTGATTAACAGATATTTTTATCATTTATATCCAATGTTGCATCATATCAGCAGTGCAGAGCCAATAAGCCACTAATGAGCAGTAAATATGCAATATATTTTCCTCCTCCCTCCCATCCATCCCCTTCAGCCCCTCCATCCCCTCCCTTTCTTTTTGCCTCTCCCTTTCTTCTTGCCTCTCCCTTTTCCTCTGTTACAGTTTGGCCCAGTATACGGACGTCTAGATGGGTTGTGTGTGCTGCGGTCCATTGTTAGGTTTGTTGATACAGGTTACAGTGAGGTACATTGTACATTATATAACCCTTTCTAGGGTTTCCTACGATATTTGTACCCATCTCATACTACTGAACATTCCCCTTGCATTAGTTCTGACATACTCCATAAAAAGAGGTGCCTCAGGTTGCTGATGCTTTGGAGGCTGAGCGTAGCCTCAACATGTGAGGAGAGGTAGTGGCGTGGGCAGAGAGAGGGTCAGAGCCAGGGGAAAGGAATGAGTTTGGCGATGGAGGAGAAGGGTGCTAGGAAGCTGTTGGGATAATACATGGCGACCTGCGCAGGGTCAGTCACGATGCCCGGCAGTGCCCACGCTATGCGCGGCCCCACAGACCCCGGTCCACTGTTGCCTCGCTCGATGAACGTGGAAGTGGTGTACACTGTACCTACCCAGTCCAGCCAGCCAGTTGTATTCAGCTGAGGGGAGGGCACGCAAGGCAAGTGCAGTGTGGGGATGAGGGTGGGTGAGGCCATGCAAAGACAGCAGCATTGCTGAAAACGAAGAAAATGACAGGAGAGAAGGGCTTACCACATTTCCGATTTTTGTGCTGATGACAGCCACTCTCGCGTAGGGCTTCCAGGGACGTCCGAGGTATGCCTTGTTGACAAGGTTGCCCTGGATGACGGAGTTGAGGAATGCCCGTGTTCTCCGTGTAGTTGGTGCGACCAGACGCCGTGAGTGCCACACCCGCGTATGGGAGGATGTGGAACGTGCAGTTGTCCAAGACAGCCGCACCGTTGCCAAAGACAAAATCCACCGACCCTTTCACGTAGCAGTTGCGGTAGTACTGGCGCCCAACGTGCGCATACAGGGTGTCCTGCGACCCGAAAAACTCGCACTCGTAAAAGGCTGCGTTGTCGCCCGACTGCCTGAACGCCACCGCTTGGTTCCCAGCCCTCCCTGCCGTGTTCTCAAAGCGAATGCCGATGGCTACAAATCCAGTCCCGGCCACAGCTGAGGGGGTCAGAGAGAAGGGAGAGAGAAAGATCTAAGTATTTATCTTAGAGGTAAGTGACATTTCCCTCAGACACTTCCCTCCCAGCCTCTTCCCTCTTAGACCTAAACCCTGGGAGGGAAGAGGTTTGGAGGGAAATGTCTAGGTACCTATCTCTCTCTCGCTCTCTCAGTCACGGAAGATTTGTCACCCACGCGAAAGTGGGGCGAAGAGAGCACAGCAGCGGGAAGCACCTTAGAAGATGGAAATAGAGGTAGAAGAAGCGCAAACAGAAACGTGCAGACCAGGTGGCGGCGGCAGGGAGGAGAGGAGCGAGGGAGCATGGGTGGTTGCTTACCAACAGTGGCGGACTGGAAGGTGCCGGTGCCGGCAGTGGCGTTGTCGTTCCAGGAGATGACGGTGGATGCAGCAGCCAGCCCCAGCAGCGTGACGTTCTTGCACGTGGAGTTGATGGCCACCTTCTCGTGGTACACGCCCGGCTGGATCAACACCACATAGCGCCCCGTGAACCCCACCGGGTATGCCCTGATCGCTTCCTGCTCGCCCCAGGAGACACACAGAGTGCACACAAGGCAAGGCACACACAGAGCTGTGAGGGCGACGCCAGCGCTCAAGTGATGTGAGGCCGAATTTCCCTCTCCTGTAAGCATGCACACATTCTCTTTCACACGCACCTGCACGGTGAGGAAGTTCCCGGAACCATCCTGTGCCACGGTGACCGTGGGGGTGATGCGCGGAGGGGGCCGTGGGGAAGGGGGCGGAGATCGGGGCGGAGATGGGGGCGGATATGGGGGCGGGGAAGGGGGAGGGGAGGGAGGTGGAGGAGGAGGGGAGGGAGGAGGAGGAGGAGGAGGAGGAGGAGGAGGAGGAGGAGGAGGAGGAGGAGGAGGAGGAGGAGGAGGAGGAGGGGAGGGAGGTGGAGGAGGAGGGGAGGGAGGTGGAGGAGGGGAGGGAGGTGGAGGAGGGGAGGGAGGTGGAGGAGGAGGGGAGGGAGGCGGAGGAGGGGAGGGAGGTGGAGAAGGAGGGGAGGGAGGTGGAGGAGGGGAGGGAGGAGGGGGGGAAGGTGGAGGGGGAGATGGAGGAGGTGAGGGAGGGGGAGGAGAAGAGGGAGGAGGGGAAGGAGGGGGGGGCGAAGGTGGAGGGGAAGGATCCGGCAGTAGCCGGCAAGGCGGTTCAGTGGTGGTGGCCATGCCGGTGCCAGGAGTGGTGTCGGAGATGGAGTTGTGGGGGTTGGCCACCGTGATGGCAATGGCTGTGCCTGCACCGGTGGCAGTGGGGCCCGCATGAGGAGCCCTACCCGCAGTGACGGCTTGCCACAGGCGGCGGTGCTGGTGCCGGTGCCGGGAATGACGCCAGAATTGCCAGAAGGGCTGGTTTCGGGGATGGGGTTGTCGGAGTTGGCCACCCGGATAACATTGCCCGTACCTGCCAGCACTGACAGCTTGTTGCGGGCCGTGGCGAGTGGGCCGAGTGGAGTTGTGTTTGTGGCCGGCGCCTTTGCCAGTGCTGGGAGTGCCGGTGTTGGGGCTGGAGTTGTGTTTGTTGGCCACCGTGGTGGCAGTGCCCATGCCTGCACCCATGACGGTGGAGTCTGCACCACCGCTGGTCGCGCCGGCGGCTTGCAGAAGGCGGCGGCGAGAGGGCACGGAGGCGGCAGCAGCAGAGTTATCGGCTGTTGCAATCATGGCCGCCATGTCCGCTGCTCGCCCCAGCGCCTCCATCGCCAGCGCCCGCGCGTCCATCGCTGCTTTCTGCACGCACCAAACACACACATGTCGCCGCCAAAGCCGCGTGCAACACCATGAGCACCCCATGAACGCTGCAGAAGGCACGTCCCTCAATGGGAATACTTTCCAAAGTGCGGCAATGTGGGCAACGAATGGTGGCGAGAAGCGAGCAGGGAGCGCGAGATCAGCGCCATGCCATCCCATGCCTGCTTCACGCCGCGGCAGTCATGCCATGCGCGCCGAGCAGCAGCAGGGGCCCGGAGCGGGGAGGCGCGCACCTGCAGGGCGTTGACGCGCGGGTCGCGGGAGCTGCCCGGCGCGAAGCGGTCGAAGCCCTGGGCGCAGTCGAGCGCGAGTGTGACGGCGCTGGAGAGGTGGATGCGCGGCAGATTCACGTCCTCGCCGCCGCTCGCCATCATCCGCGCTGCCTCCTCCACGCTCTCCGACGCCAACGCCATCTGCCGCATCACCGTGGTGCCACACACGCATCAGCTTATGCGTCACACAAGCGCGTGTGGCTTAGGGCCCACGGACAGCGTATTACGAGGGCATCAGCATGACGGCTCAATGCACTGGCATCAAGTGCAGGGAATGCTTGGCGTACGAGCAAAATCTGGAAGCATCAATTCAGCCCGACCGAAAGTGGTTGTCTCACCTGTTCCACGCAACTGCGCGCCAGGCCGGTCCAAGCCTTCACGTTTGTCGCATCCTCCAGCGCCGAAGCGCGCGAATGCGCCACGGCAGCCGCGGCCTTGCCGGCCGCCATGTGCGCCCGGGCTTCTCGCGATTTTAGCTGGAACTTAGCGGTACGCCAAACCACCAAGTCCCGCATGCGCACTCCCGACGTTGCCTTCGCGCGATGTCCGGTGAGCCCGAGACTCCGAGTGAGGCGGCGGGAAGAGCGGATAGTCACGGACGCGTCCGCATCCGCTGGCAGTGCTGCGGCAGGGAAAAGGAGAAGAAACGCCATGGCTGCTACTACAAGTAACGCCGTCGCATGATGGACAGTCATGGCATCCCAAATATCAGAACGTAGAAATCACTGTGAAAGTGAGGGATACCCCAGGTTACCAGGTACCCGAAACGGAACCCTGGGGTATCCCTCACCAAGGTATCCTGTTGGTGTCCTGTGGGTAGGGATTTCGCTCCGGGGGAACTCTTTTGGGATGGGCAGACACCTCAACACCACGCTGGGTCTCGCGGGCCGGGTCGCCGTGACGCCCTCGCGGTGACAACTGCTCGAGGATAGCGATTATCGAAGTCTCTGCACGAGAGGTTGTAAGACAAGTCCATGGTCGCGGCAGCTTTGTACTCAGAGAGACTCTAACGCAGCCCGCCGATTCATACTGTAACTCTGATGGAATGTGGTTTTGTGGGTTGTTTGGTTGGCCACGAGCCTACTTGGGATGGGATGTCGGCTTATCGATGCGCGCGTGAATCGCGGAAACGAGCTGGATCTTTTGATAAACAACAAAAGAATGTGTACTGACCTAAAATGTCTATCCCTCAGAATCGGAGCTTCCGTTTCCCCTCGAAGACTTCCCCACGGTGTTTCCTTGATTCGCCCAGTCCTCAGGCCATTTCCCATCCGAAATGTCACATTTTGCTGTGGTCGAGGGAACCCTTCCCCCGATTTCGAACAAGCCCCAAAAAGCTGTAGTGTTTTTTCCGACATAGGCGTGTTCTGTGCCCCGCCAAAGCAGGGTGTCATAGTGTTTTGCTCGACCGCCCTGCTCGTTGCTTGTCAGGCGACGGGAAGGGAAGGGTGTCAGGCAGTGCACTCTATAGGTTTGCAGTTGTTGGCGGCTGTGACAGCAAGTTCACCACCGCGACGCGACGTCCTGACTTCACTCACAGCCATTGCGGCGCCACGACTCCAATCAGTTAGGATAATACTGTTTTGAACACTCGTGTTAAATATTTACATGTATTTACCTACACGTGATATTGCAATACACCCCGAAGGCACTGTTGACATTGTGCTGCAACTGAACACCACCAGTGATCATCCCCTCGCCCGGGCTGCTACTCACGTCCTGCAAGGTCCGGAGGTGTTTCCGCTCGCAGAATTGGAAGCTCGGCTACCAAGCGATGCACTAATAGCGCTCGGTGACATAGGAACCAGGCCTCCAGCCAGAGGCTCATGTAACTGCTCCTCATAACACATATATCACTCCAGAGATGCGGAACTCATATTCAACACTCCATTAAATCTACACAGCCTTCAAGTTCGGGGAGCACGTGACTGATTATACGTGCTGTCCACGAAAGGCGAAACTAACGCTCTCGCCAATGCAGTTTTCCAGGCCTGCGCCTGGGGCTAACGCTACTGGCCACCAACCAGTACCCATACTGGCGGGATCGCTCGAGCATATCAAACGGCAGTTTACCATGTTGGAATTGTTAGAATAAGCAGGCAGGAATGATGGACTAGGTAGCATGCATGAGTACAAGTACCTAACCCCTAAAGTGTTGTACCCCTTGTAGGCTAACCCACTATAGCCTAGAGAGAACACAAACATACAGTTTGACACACCCCCATAGGCTAAGTGGGAGATAGCAAACACAACAGACGGTCACAAGACCAGTCAAGCAAGAGAACAAGCAAAGCAAAGCAAAGCTCATGGTGGATCTCAATGACACCACACAATCTGAGCACAAGCAAGCGGCCACAAGGCCAGTTCACATGCAGAGTTATAATAGCAAGACAGTACACTGATCACAACCTCGGAAGAACAAACAAGCAGGTATAAAGATATATAAATATATATCAGTGTACAACAAGAGCAAGTCAAGCAACCAGCAGGTGAGGCAGAGTGGGCACAAGCCCAAGAGCAGTGCAAAAACGCTGATGATCACCAGCCCCAAGGGCCTTGGTGAAGACATCAGCAGTGATGGCCCGAGAGGCAACGAAAGCAAGGCGCAGTTGACCACGCTGCTGCAGCTCACGCGCAAGGAAGTAGCGAAGAGCAATGTGCTTCGTTCGGCGCTCCAGTCTCTGCTCGCGACATAAGGCAAGCATTGCCTTGTTGTCGACGTACAGAACTGGAGGAGAACGAGGCTGCTCCCCCAAGTCGGTCAGCAGGTAGGTCAGCCAGCGGAGCTCCTGTGCAGCCATGGCCCCAGCGTAGATCTCGGCCTCACAGCTGGAACCAAGCACAGAAGAAGAACGAGTGGACCTCCACGAGACAGAACCAGCGCCAAGACTGAAGGTGTAGCCCTATGACGAACGCTGAGTCGCCTGGTCGTCGGCCCAAGAAGCGTCAGAGTGTCCTGTGAGGACCACTGAACCCCGTCCTCCAAGCACGAGCCCCATGCCTGATGTGCTGCACAAGTAACGCAGTACCCTCTTCGCAGCATCAAAGTGCACCTTTCGGTGTCGACCAGGTGCCACGTAGCGAGCCAAGAGGCTGAGAGGGTACGCGAGGTCAGGTCGTGTGCACGTCATCAGGTACATGAGGCAACCCACAAGCTCTGGGTACGGACCACTCGGCTGTACGGACTCGTCCCAAGGTGGAGCTGAGAGCGAGTGGCCGGTAGCTAGAGGAGTGGGCTGTGGCGAGGAGTACGTGAAGCGGAAGCGCTGAAGAACCTGGTGCACCATGTGTGACTGAGTCAGGGTGATGGTGCGCCGTGCTCTGTCCCGGGTGATCTGCAAGCCAAGATAGCTCCGCAGCTCACCCAGGTCAGTGCAGGTGTGTCTCTCCTGCAGCTCCGCCTTCACTAGGGCCAGTGACTCAGTGTCAGCAGTAGCAAACACCAAGTCGTCGACGTACACGAGGATGTAGAACGGCGGCAGAGTAGTGTCGTTGCGTAGAAACAGCGACGGGTCAGCAGTCGAAGGAGCAAACCCAAGAGCCGCAAGTGTCGTCCTCAGTGTGTCGTGCTACTCGCGGGGCGCCTGACGGAGGCCGTACACTGGTTGCTGTAGGCTCCACTGGGTACCAGGAGGAAACGACCCAGTGAAGGCCTGTGGACGGCGCAACCAGATGGCCTCGTGAAGGCTACCCTGCAAGAAAGCTGTCGAGAAGTCGAGGGAGTGCAGCTCGTAGTCACGCTGAGCTGCAACGTGTAGCAACACCCGAAGAGTGGTCATCTTCGGGGTGGGGGAGAAGGTCTGAAAGAAGTCAACCCCCTCACGCTGACGGAAGCCTCGAGCAACGTAACGTGCCTTGAAGGCAGGCGGAGAACCCGGCGGCCGCTTCACCCTGAAAATCCACATGCCACTGACGATGTTTGCCCCAGGTGGGGGAACCTCGTCGACGTAGGTGCCTGTGGACTTCCAGGAAGCCATCTCTGCGTCCATGGCTGTCTGCCACTGAGAGGAGTACTCACCCGAAATCGCCTCCCTGTAGGAGCGCAGGGTGGGGATGTCAAGTGCATCCGGGTCTCCCTCAGGGGCAAGCAGCATGGTCGCGTGATGGGGTGAAGCGGCCGCAAGGCACTCCAGCTCCTCCTGTCTGTCCTCAAGAACGTCACAGCCAAGGGCAGTACAGCCAAGGGCAGTCTCACCCCCGACGGACGGAGGACAGGCAGGGTCAGGGTCAGAGACAAGACTCGCAAGGTAGTCTAGGCGGTACACAGCAGCAAAGTCAACGAGCTCAGCGACTAAGGCAGACGCAGCAGGAGACGAGAACTTAGGGTCTGTCACAACCGTAGCAAGGAAGCAAGTAACAGTCAGACTGGACGCACGAGCAAGGTCAGACGGAGGGTCAGCAACGTCAGGAAGAGAGGACGTAGGAGGTAACAGTAGGACAACATGCTGTGGAACAGAGGAAGGACGGAGTGTCTTATCGTGAGTGCCCGGGACAGCCGGAGCACGCGGACGACGAACACGAGGAACACGAGCACGGACAGCAGCGCTAGGCTCAGGCTCTAGGTCAAAGCTAGACTCAGGCTCTTGACGCTCAGGGGTGGAAGCACGAGTCTCCGGCTCTCGACGCTCAGTCAGGGACTGTGTCACCGCAGTGTAAGGAGCAGGTGCAGGCATTTTGGAGTGCGGTAGCAGCGGCGGCTGTGACTGGTCCGCCGGTGGAAACAGCAACGGGGGAGTAGTACCTGCCATAGGGAAGTCAGTAGCACCGGGCAGAAGACTGAGAAGGTGGCGAAGAGCACCAGCAGCTCCCGTACCCCCAGCACCAGCAGCACCTCCAGCACCTCCAGGCCTAGCAGCTCCAGTACCTCCAGCACTCGTAGCACCTCTAGTACCTCCAGTAGTGCCTTCAGCACCTCCAGCACCAGCAGCACCTCCTGGACTAGTAGCTCTAGCACCTGCAGGACCGTACCCTCCACCACCAGGACTGCCTCGCCGAACGACCCACGAACGAATCGCCTGCAGCGAGAGCGTCTCAAGTAGAGCAGGCTGCGGTGGCTGTCCAGCTCCAGTACCTCCAGCTCCAGGACCTCCAGAAGGACTCGCAGCACCCCCAGAGTGAGCACCCGAAGTCTCAGCACCCCCAGAGTCAGCACCCAAAGTCTCAGTACCCTCAGTCCCAGCACCCGCAGGCTCAGTGCCCTCAGTCCCAGCACCCGCAGGCTCAGTACTCTCAGACCCAGCAGCCGCAGGCTCAGTACCCTCAGTCCCTGCACCCTCAGTCTCAGCTCCAGTGTCCACTGCAGAAGGCTGCAGAGGCGGGAAACCGGGGGGGGTAGCCAAACGAGGAGAGTGGACACCCCCAGACGTAACACCCCTAGGCTCAGCTCCATCAGCCTCAGCTCCAAAGTCCACAGCAGCAGGCTGTGGAGGTGGCGAAGATGGACGAGGCG